TTCTCCCAAAACGTATTGGTTAATAATATAAAATTACTTAAGAAATTTTGGAACACTTTACTCCAAAGGGTAAACAATGGTTCACTCAGTTCCCCAACAATGAACAGTGAACCAACGGCTACTGGAATTTGGTGAAGGGATTCTGTGTTGTTGGAGACTGTTCCATACATTTCAGGACATTTAATAGTTCTACTCCCCAGGGCACTAAACACCAGTATAAAGCCCAGGTGGTACAATAACCAAAACAACTTCAGGACCCTACCCACTTCTAGACTGTGCCCTTGAGAAACCACTGTGGGAGCAAGAATTCATTTTTTGATTTTTTTTTTCTTACCTGCATTTTTCCAATTTTCCTACAAAGTCTGGGTATTGCTTTTGTGAAACGGAAGCCACGTTCACTACTTTTTTAAAAAAGGAACAAGATAGCAATTTCGATTACAGTTCTCAGTTAACCCTATTTGTCCTTCCCCAACCAAGTCTGCTCATGACAGTAAGTAAATAAAAGGTGACCTAACATTATTATGTGGATGCTATAATTCATTTTAAGGTCACCAATACAGGAAGGGTGCAATTAACTCAGCTTCTTATAAATCACTGTTATTCTTCAAGTACTTGTAATAGGTATGAGATCACAGCATCCTACAATTCACAGGTCAAGTACTGGATTGCTTCTAGCTTGTTATAAAACTTTAAAAGGAAGGAAACTGCCATGATTTGGTTTCAACACGGTGTTACACTGGCATAGCCTTAAGTGTCTTAGTAGGCATAGCTACTGCCACTCGCCCCCGCAAGAAGGCCAGGGCAAGCAATTTTTTTAAATATTTTTTTTTAGTTATAGATGGACACAATACCTTTATTTTATGTATCTGTTTTTATGTGGAGCTGAGGATTGAACCCAGTGCCTCACACATGCTATGCAAGCGCTTGACCACTGAGCTACAACCCCAGCCCCGAAAGCAATTTTGACAAGTGATTTGGGGAAATATTGTGTTTTGTTCTATTATTTCATTTCCTCGGATCCAAGCAGAAGTCAGGATCTCAGCAATTCTTCATCTCAATATTTTTACAGGGCTGGAAAAGTAGCATTTTTCTGCGTTTGGGTTTAGCATAATCTCAGAAAAGGGACAGTGATAGTTAGAAATACACATATACCCCTCCAGATAAAGAATCAGTGGTACCATAATTCATAATATCCAAGAAACCATCAATTTGAAGCTACATCCTGATCCAAATGTCAAATCATGAATTTAAAAAATCTTAGAATCAAAACATAGTATATCATTTCAGGGGCTCTTCAGCATTCTGAATGTTAAGAGTTCGTTTAATAAAAAAAAAAAAAAAAAAAAGTAATTTTTTTTTTAAAAAGTGCACACTGCTGATGACAATTTTGACCAGTAAAACTGCAGAATATGTCACAGAATCCTTAAATTTGCATACCTTTTGACCCAATGATTTTACTTTAAGGAACTTTTCCTCAAGAAAACCATTGTGCAAGCCCAGAAAGATAGACAAAGAAGGACAGCAGCTGCAGCATTGCTTATATTAGTAAAATTTAGAAACGTATTTGTCTTAAGAGGACCAAGGAAATCAAATATGGTATTTCCTTATGATAGAAAACTAACGATGCGGGCTGGGGCTGGGGCTCAGTGGTAGAGTGCTCGCCCAGCATGCACGAGACACTGGATTCGATCCTCAGCACCCAGATTTACATAAATGTAAAATAAAGATATTGTGTCCACCTAAAACTTAAGAATAAATATTAAAAAGAAAAGAACGAGAAAACTAACAATGCAAGAAAACAGAGATCTGAAAAATGTTCATGGCATCATAGGTACAAATAGCAGGTCACAATCAGTAAGAAAAATTGCAAAAACCACATGATAGAAAAAATAAGTATAAAAAGAGTTTCGAAAAGAAATGAAAAGTGGAAAGAAAAACAATTTTTTTTTAAATCTCCTTAAACTTACATGAGTTTTCCTTATTTGGGAGAACACACTAAGTCCCCAGTATAAGGGAAGAAAACACATCACTGATACCTCAGATCTCTGAGGAGAAGGAATATTCTATAGGTTTCCAATGTGGTGAGCAGAGGTGAATTGAAATAAATTTTTTTTTTAATCAGAACAGCTAAAGGACTATAGAATACTTTTAAAATTCTGAAGATCAACTATTTCCAGTCTAACAGTCAAATTATGTGTAACAGTAGAACTCTGAAAGATGAAAATCTCAATTTCCACTTGCATCATTTCTTAGGTAACTATGAGCTGCTCACCTCCTGCAGGTAAAGCAAATCAGAGTAGGACACTGACCAGAAGAGGTACAGCCTCCAACCCGAGACAGAGAGCACAGAACTTCACGTGACGGTGCAGTCACCAGACAAGTGAGAGCAGGTCAGAGGCCCGGGGGTCAGGCAGGTCAGGATAACCCTGATAGAATACAGTGGGCTCTTTCTAGCCAGAGATTTGGACAACTCCAATTAAATCGGTGACTAAATATGTGGGGAAATAAGAAATGTGAAAAGGGCATTACTAACACCAAAGAAAGCAAGAAATTGGGCAGGAAAAGTGCTCTGTGGCTCAGCTCTGAAGTGTTCATGGTATCATGAGTCAGTAGTGGCTGTTGGTCCAAACCAAATCACCTGATGACCGTCCTGGGAGACAGGAAGGGTATTATGTAATTGGAGGTGGTCTGAGACAGTGAAGGCTTCAGCTTTCAGAGCAGAAAGGCGGTGGGACAATGCAGGCAAGCTGGGGGAAAACTCTAAGCTTAGAGACACATTACTCAGAGCGCTGAGAGTCTTGAATATGGTTGTCTCTAGGAATGGAGAGCGAGGAAAAGATTTCTGCCTGTAGTACTGTTTGATTCTGAAACATGTCCATAATTATCTCTGTCAAAAATAAAAACTCAGCCAGGTGCCGTGGAGCAAGGGCATGGTTTGGAAGGCTGAGGCAGGAGGATCTTGAATTCAAAGCCAGCCTCAGCAACTTAGTAAGGCTCTAAGCAACTCAATGAGACCCTATCTCTAAATAAAATATTAAAAAAGGGCTGGGGATGTGACTCACTGGTTAAGTGCCCCTGGGTTTGATCCCCGGTACCAATAAATAAATAGATAGATAAATAAATAAATAACTCGCCTACAGCAGTAATAAGGGTGACATGGTTTTTCCACCTTTTTCAAAAAGCTCCCCGAAATGCCAGGCACGGTGGCACATACCTGTAATCCCAGTGGCTCAGGAGGCTGAGACAGGAGGATCGCGAGTTCAAAGCCAGCCTCAGCAACGGCAAGGCGCTAAGCAACTCAGTGAGACCCTGTCTCTAAATAAAATACAAAATAGGGCTGGGAATGTGGCTCAGTGGTTTAGTGCCCCTGAGTTCAATCCCCAGTACCCAAAAAAAACCTCACTGAAATCTAAAAGGATACATGCCAACATGTCAACAATGGTTACTTCTAGTGATGGGATTGTGGGCTATTTACATTTCTTCCTTCACTTTCATATTGTCTGAAAAAGTATCGCACAGAGAGCACATCTGAGCTTGTTGTCAGAAAACGAAGAGGCATTTTATTTCATGCCTGATTGAAACCCACCCCATAATAGAAGCCCCAACTCCATCGTGTTAGCTTCTGTTTGCCCTGCTCAAGCAGGGCGACTGCCAGCTCCTTCACTCTCACTGCAAATATTTGTTGAACTTTGTAAAGTCAGGCCCTGTAAGGTGATTCCAATATTTTCAGCTTTTTATTGGGTCTCCCGAGTCTTTAGTACCAGCCAGGAAATCAGTTGGCCAACATCACTCAAACTTTCTGTGCACTGGAACACTTGGGAGATGGATTCCCTAGCTCTAGGATGGGGTTTGAGCCGCTGGAGGAGCAAGCAAGCTCTTTGATGTACACAGGTTTCACCAAAGGTTTCTCAAAGGGACTGTCCAGGACTGTATATGTCTACTTTCTAGCTTTCACACAGGCTCAGTTCTGAATTCCACAGTGTTTAAACAAGTCTCTGAGATAGCAGAAGGAGTACTGGCCAGACAAATGGAAGGAATGCCCCTTAGCGGTTAAGAACAGAGACCAGGAAAAAGGCTGGCCTGAGTCTGCATTCCAGCTCCACCCTCCACAGGCATAGTTGACTTCCTCTCTTAGGCCTCAGTTTCTTCACATGTAAAATGGGTTTAATTAAAGCCACCTTTACCTTGAGGGTTGTTGTGTGGAGGACATGAGATCTCTAAGGCATCTAAGGGATTTGATAACCCTGGCACAGGGGGAAGACTCAGTAAATGACCACTGCTAGCTGTTAACAGGGCTCCAGTCCTTTCTCAGCCATGAAGGATTGGCTGGGACTTCTGGGGAGATCACTTGTCCTCAGTCTCCATGTGTAACAATGGAGGGGAGCAAATACATGTCCTGTCACCTGTTGGCAGGACCTTCTGAGCCCGCACCAGGATGTGCACAGCACCAGACAGGAGGCCCTTTAATTCTCAAAGAGGTTGATACTCTCAGATTTTACTCAGTGATTATCCACCCCCCAACCCCATTCACTTCATTTTTACTTACCAGGGAGATATTAGAAAAAGGAAAAGCCCCCCCACACACACTACCCCCCCAATCTTAGGAAAGTTTTACTTTAAGGAAGGAGGCTATCCACGTGGAAATCAGGTGAAGGAGGCACCAAGTGTCCCTGACATGCAACACAAACTTGAATACCCACCAGGCATCCTGCTCCCAGCACAGATCATCTCCACTGAGAGTGCCCAGCAAACTAGATTTCTTCCCCCCTCCAGACATCGTGAGAGTCACCACCCTCTCTCTCCCCAAGAGGTTGAAAGGATCTCCTTCTGAGTTTTGCACTTTGCGAAGAATAGAGGCTGAGTTAAAAAAAAAAAAAAAAAAAAAAAAGAGTTCCCCAAAGCCTGCGCGAGGATCTGAGCAGGTTCCATTGGAGAAGCACAGCGGGTGCCAACGCGCCGGGTCCGTCTGCCTCCCCCGCCCCCGGCCCGCTGGCACTCACGATCTCGGCCACGATGAGAAGCCCGGGCACAGTGCGGAGGAACTCTCGATCGTAGGCGAAGCTGCTGCTGGTGGTGGAGAAGTTCTCGGCGAAGGAGCTGGTGGTGGTGGTGACCGTGTGCGAGCGAGCACGCTGCGGCTCCTCCATCGTCGCGCCCGGATCGGGCTGGCCGGTCCCCGGGGACCCCCAGCGCGTCCGGGGGTTGACGCGCGGCCCAGTGCCCCGGGGACACCGGCGAGCGGGAGGGGAGCGCGGCTGGAGCTGGGAGCTGGGCGCTCCGGAGGCGCCCTCCGGGGCCAATCCAGGAGCCGCGCGTGTCCCGCAAGTGCGCAGCGCCCTCCGCAGCTCCGCGCGCGGGCTCCGGGGCGGCGCGGGGGCCCAGGAGGAGGAGATCGAGCGAGGGGAGGCCGCCCGGCGGCCGAGGAAGGCGGCGGAGGCCCGGAGGAGGGGAGGGGGCGTGGAGAGGGGCGGGCGGGAGGCGGGCTGGAGAGGGACCGCCCCGCCGAGGCGTCGCGGGCGCGCGGCCTCTTCACCTGTTGCGGGACACCTAGCGACCGAGAAAGTCGCTTTCAGTGCAGCTGGGCCAGCATTCCCGTGAGCCGCGCGGAGGCGAGGGCCGGGGTCCCCGCCGCCTGCCCTCTAGGCTCCAGCCTGCCAGGCTCCGCCTTCCTCGGGCGGCCGCGGCCGCTGACCTGTTTCCTTCCACCTGGCCAGGTCCCTGGGGCATCCGGGGCCCCTCAGGGAAACCCAGGCCTTCAGGGACTCAACCCTTTGAAGAATGACCGAGGCAGGGGGTGGGTGGTGACTGGAACTGGGGGAAGAGTGGCTGGAATTATGACCCGGTCGGACCTTAGACCCGAGATCGATGCCAGGCCGCCAGGACTGCCTGGGAGTCCCTTTCCCCCCTCCCGCTGCGGCCGCCACTGGAGCGCGGTGTTATTTCCTGCCCCTCCTGTCGCGAACAATTTGAGGAACCAACTTAATCGCTGGCCTTGGAGAGCAAGACGCTTCCAGGCGCTCTCCAGCAGGGATCGGTCGCCTGGGCCGGAGATGGGAGGGGGGAGATGTTTGGGGTTCCTGGTTCAAGATGAATCAATGTGACCGACCCATCACCCTTGGGGGAAAATGTTTCCAAAAAAGCCTGAAAGGTGTGGTTTGTGCAAAATGAAGTTTACTGTGACAAATCGGCTGCTCTGTCCTGGGGGATGGGGGAGGGGATGAGGACGCCTCAGTGTGGCGGCTTGTGCAGGTCAGATTAGACCTGACTCAGGCAGGGTACTTGTGTTTGTTGGTGGTAGGTCAAAAAGCAAATAGCTTCACTTTTCTGGGCCTCAGTTGTGCCTTCTGTAAAAACGACAGGCCTAGACGGACGGACTCCGGCCTAAAAGGTGTCTTGTCTGTAGCCCCTCTTGTTTTGTGAACGGATAACAAAAAACTTCTGAAACCACCAAAGGGAAAGGAAATAATCTTTGGTCACAAATAAGAGCTTTGAATTCAGTGAAGACATACCCGTTGATCTGGTCCAAGGCAAGTTAAAAAGAGATCAGAAAGACATTTTATCCACAATGTTTAATCAACAGTGAAGGAACTTACAAAAGACAAACTAGAAAAACAAGAAATTAGTTTCTTTTAAGTCTGGGGCCTAGCCAGGTGGATCTCAGAGTAAAGGGCTTCAGAAGCATGGTACAGATGAACATTTGGAGCCATCCCGTCCATGTACACTGGATAAGCACCTTGGGCTAGGGGGTAAACACAATAAAACTATTAAATATAGGGCTCTTCCTAGAGCAGTAGGTCTCAACGTCTGGTCCCTGGACCTACAGCTTCAGCGACCCTGGAAACTTGCCAGAAACACAGGTTCTCAGGCTTCACCTCAGACCCACTGAATCAGAGCCTTTGAGTATAGATCCAGGAAGCTGTGTGGGAATAAGTCCTTCAAAAGACACTAATGCAAAGTGAAGCTTGAGAGCTACTAGCTTAGAGAAACTGCTAATGCATTTGGGGGAAAATCAGAGATACATGAAATGACCGGCAACATGCTTGACACTTAGTGAATGTGTAACACAAAAGGAAGTAGAGACAATTGTTTTCATAATGCAAAGGATAATCCCTTCCAAAAACCCTGGGGGCCAGATGGATTTCAGAATTCAGATTTTTCTTTAACTTAGAAGGATAAAATGCACACATACCATACCATGCATCCATAGTGAGGTCTGGAGCAGCACTCTAATCAAATACACTAATTTTCTGCAGTGAAAATGTATCAATGACAGTCTATTTGGGTTGTTTATTGCACTGTAACAAATGTTCCCAAACATGAGTAGTGTAAAATAAGTGCTTTATTTGCTCAGGAATCTGTGGCCAGGAATTTGGGCTGAGCTTGGCTGGCAGGTTCTTTAGCTCTATCTGGTATTGACTGGAGGCATTTACTCAGCTGCTTTCAGCTGATGGCTAGGCAGGACTAGAAAGTCCAAAAAGGCTTCACTTCCATTCAGGTATTTCAGAGTCCTTCTGACTAACCTTTCTCTCTGTGAATATGGGACTTCTGCAGAGTTGGCTATTAAAGGGAACTTTCTATAAATGCAAAAGCAGACGCTGCAGATTTCTTAAGGTCCAGATCTTCAAACTACACAGCATCATTTCTGCCATATTCTGTTGGCCAAAACCAAAGACAAGGCTAGCCCAGTTTCAAAGAGAGGGACAATAGATACTACCTCTGGAAGTGTGCTCATTTTTTAATGCACCGAGAGAGAACAAAAATGATAAATAGCTTCACATCAGTTCAGGTTTTTCTACCAACTCTATCTTCTGAAAACTTAACAAACAAACACTTTTTGGTTTTCAGCTTTTGAGGTTACAGAATGGCAGAGAAGTGATCATACATGGTTGCTTAGAAGTGGCCTGCTACTTTTGAAATGCTGCTTAAATTTAGGTGCTCATCTTCCACCTAGAACCCGCCTGATTGGGGTTCATTCCTTCAATATCTTTCAGTCCACTCTTTACCTTCCTACAAGAATTACTATCCTAAGGGCTGGGGCTGGGGCTCAGTGGTAGAGAGCTTGCCTAGCATGCGTGAGGCACTAGGTTTGATCCCCAGCACCACATTAAATAAATAAACAAAATGAAGTATTACTACTGTCCTGAAACCCCAGGCTAAGTATATAGTGTAAGGGCTCTTATAAGGTAATTCAACCTATCTCTCCCAATCCTTTTTCTCAATTACTGAAGAAAGCTTCCCATTCTAGACCCAATTACATATTGACCACTTTATGTCCATAACCAGTTTTTTTCTGCCTAGACAGCCTCCTACCTTCACACACAGTTCAGAATCAGCACCCTTCCCTGCCCATTTCAAATGCCACCTTTTCTGTGATTTACTCTAAATGTCCATTAGTTTTCTTCTTTGTTTAGAAGTCATTGGTTTTATGTATGTCTGTTTACCTTTTCTTTTCTTTTGGTACCGGGGATTGAGCTCAGGGGCACTTGACCACTGAGCCACATCCCCAGCCCTATTTTGTATTTTATTTAGAGATAGGATCTCACTGAGTTGCTTAGTGCCTTGCCATTGCTGAGGCTGGCTTTGAACTTGAGTACCTCCTGTCTCAGCCTCCCAAGTCACTGGGATTATGGCATGCGCCACCACGTCCAGCCCTCCAAACTTTCTAAGTCATGTTTAATGTTTTTGCCTGATTTTGTTTTCCTTGCTGTTCTTGTTCAAAACTGCCTTAAACTGCATGTGAGCAATTACATTCTATGTATTCAACCCCAATAAAATCATGCCTTTATTTTTTTAAAAAAGTATACTTCCAATCACAATTATAGTTCACATCTCCAAGCACATTGAATCCTGTGGTTTATGCACCCCACAACTATTAGTATTTGTCCTGCGGGAAACCAGGACATTGTCTAAGAAGTAAGAGTGTTCTTCCTTCTCCAATCACAAAAGCCACCAGTTAGTCTAGGGTGCCTCCGTTTGAAAACAGGCAGAGATGGGACCCAAACCCATTGGGCAATGAACTTTTGGGTTTGGGGTTTGTTTAGGTTTCAAGAGGTTCTATCACTTTGACCAGAGATCTTAAATCTTAAAGAACACAAAGTTTGACAAATAAGATAATGAAGGACTAGACTCAGATTGGTTTCCGAGGGGCCTTTTATACTGTATTCTTCTGAACCAGACACTTCCATGCTTACATGTTAACTTCGTGGTGATTTCCTTACTTTCTACAGAAAAGAAAACATTCACTCCCTTTTTTTTTCATGAAACGTATGACCTCCTGGGTTTCGCTGTCATTTTTCCACGTTGGTTTGAGACAGGGAGAAGAAATATTTCTCCATAGGAAATAAAAATATCTTTCCATAGGAGACTAACATCTGGAGAATTTGGGAATATTATGCAATTAACCCTCAACAAACTAACATCTGGGGAATTTGGGAATATTATGCAATTAACCCTCAACAAACTCAGTTGGGGGAGTAATAGGGAGTGGTGGGTTCTGTGGTAGACTGGAGCACAGATACTCTACAAGGACTATCTTGGTTTCTGCTTGATTTCATCTTTTTTTAAAAAAAAATATTTTTAATTGTAGATGGACATAATATCTTTATTTTATTTATTTATTTTTATGTGGTATTGAGGATCGAACCCAGTTCCTCACACGTGCTAGTCAAGTGCTCTACCACTGAACTACAACCCTAGCCCCTCAATCTTGTTTATTACCATATAGGAGTTGGGACCTGGTATTGCCAGAAATCCTGATTTTTAAATCCTGGCAACTAATTCATTATTTTAAAAACTATAAGTGGGTCAAATAAAATGTGGCACCCTCTGATTAAGATACAGAGTAAAGTCCCTCTTTTTCCTGCCTGGCTCCCTCGGACCCCTGGCTTCCCCTGTGAGGGTCTCCAGAGACCTCAGAGGACATAGAGTTTACATACACAGGACAACCCAAGAGCAGAATATCGGGAAGAAATACGGAAGAGAGTGGTAGTAAAATGGGATGTGCTAAAGGCAGAAGAGGGTTAAGATTGGGAAATTATGGAGGGATGCTAAGAATTAGATTAGAAACAGGGATTCTCAGAAGACGTAAAAATAATAATAACCTAATTTATTGTTGGCCTGTTTTGTGCCAACCACTATCTTAACTCTTTGAATAATTTTATTAATCACTGATTTGAAAAAAATAAACTTGGACCTCTATGTCTTGCCATACATAAAATTCAACTCAGAATAGATCAAAGACTTAAATGCAAGACCTGAAACTACTGGGGAAAAACAAAACAAAACAAAAAACAGGGGAAATGCTTGAGGACATTGGTCTGGGCAAAAGTTTTGAATTTGACCCCAAAAACATAGGTCACAAAAGCAAAAACTGACAAATGGGATTACATCAGACTAAAATGATTCCACATAGAAAAGG